CACATAGCTGTCATTAAAATACAGCTTTAATTCTTCTGTTTTTCCTTTTAATATTGTACTATGCTTAATTTATACATTAAACGTTTACATAGGTATGTAGATATGTAAGTATATTAAAAAGTGTATATAAAATTTGCAACTACCTATGATTTCAGGCATCCGTGAGAGGTCTTGGAATACATCTCACATGCATAAGGGCGTTTATGTATACAGACTATCAAATGTGAGGAGTGGTTGCAGGAGCATCCCGTTTGTAGCTAAGCCGGCAGAAGTCCTGGGTAACCTAGGGACCTGCTCCTTGGAATTAGCATCTGAAGTGGGGGCATCTTGTGGGACTCATCTCTTTAACTTGTGGGTCTGGGCTAATTCCACAGAGTCTTAAAATTGAATTGGATTATTGGATGTATGTTGGTGTTGCAGAGAATTGGCATGTGCTTGGTGTGAACACACGTGGTGTTCGAAGTGTTGTTAGTAGAACAGTGTCCTTCGAGATTTTTAGGTGTCCTAGTATTGTGAGTGAGCTATGCCAGTAATATAGACTAGACACTGTCTTTTCACAATGTCAGAATTTGTTGAATAACAGTAAATTCATGAGCAGTATCAATTTTTCAGCCTTATCAGGCCAACTAGTCAAAGGTCACTCGGTTGTGAATAAGCTGGGTTTTAAAATTTCAATTTTTTTTGTTTTTGTTGAGACTGGGTCTCACTATGTAGTCCAGGGTGGCTTCAAACTCAGTATGTAGCTCAGGCTGGCCTTGAATTTGCAGTGATCTTCCTGCCTCAGCCTCCCTCCTGAGTGCTGGAATGACAGGTTTGTGCCACCACACCTGGCTAAAATTCCAGTTTTAATTACTAGGATTTGTAACTGTCACATCACACTTCATGCAGTAATATGTGGAGGTTATAGAATGGCTAAGGAGGTTAACAGTGGTGGCAGAACTGAAAGCAGGCAGAGAGTCTACAGAGAAGTGAACGGTCACCACAGGTGATAAGATTACAGACTAGGCAAGGGTTCTCTGGGGGGTGCTGGGGGGAGGCCTGGGGCTTGCTCAGAGTTGGGTCACCAGCCTGTGTCTGGAGGCAGGCAGTTCTAGTGAGTCACATCAGGCAGGGAGGTGTGGCTGCTGAAACCAGGGAGAGAGTGCCAGAGTTCCCAGCTTTACCAGTGCGGGCGCTCCTTATTTTCTTTTCTTTCTTTTTTTTTTTTTTAAATTTTAAAGAGTAAAAGAAGGGTAACATAATAATGGGGTGGGGGGCTTACCAAATTACAGACAAAGTGGTAGGAAATTATCAATGGTTATTGTTTTACATATTGTTATCTACAAGGTAGTTTCTCAGGAAAACAAATAGACAATAGTGAGTTACAGACAAAAGAGGTAGGAGGTTATCAATAGTTGTTGTACTATACTTTGGTATCTTCAAAGTGGCTTCTAAAGAAAATAAATAGAGCTATACATGAGTGACCTATTGAATAATCATTAACTGTTCTCAATGGTTATTGTAGGAAATGCATAATAATAGACATGCATCCATTTACGAAATAGGATAGGAACAATACAAACATTACAGAGTTATGGATAGATTAGGAGGAAAATATCAATGGCTGCTGTAATACATGGTGGTATCTTCAAAGTGGTTTCTCAGGAAGACAGAGATACGCAAGAAGGATCTAACAAGAAGTTATAGCCTAAGGGTTGTCAAAAATAGCATATTACCTTCTCACCAGTGACTCCTTTCACTGAGGTATGATGGCTGGAAGGAAGGCCAGGATTGAAAAGAAGGACCGAGAGACTTGCACCTGTGACTAGCAACTGGCTGTTTTCTTGTTCCTCCATAGTCATGATTACCCAGGGCTCCTCCATGGAGATGACGGTCTGGCCAGAGGGAGAAGGCAGAGTATGCCCTGGGCCCTCTCATTGCTGTTGGACTAACTGGTAGGATGGGTCTGAGCTCTGGGGCCTTTGCTTCAGAGGGCAGACCGATCTCTAGTGGTCACCTTTGCATTCAGGGCATGGCCCATGGGACCTCTTAGGGCAATTCCTCTTGAGGTGGCCTGGCTTTTAACAGTGGTAGCAGATGAATGCAGTTGTTGAGTTCTTCTTGGAGCCCCGGGAATCAGACTTAGGGTCTGTTTCTCTTAGTGCTGCAGCAAAAGCAGCTGCTTTTTCTCAGTCTCTTTGTTTTCTCTCCTTGGCCTCCTCCTCATCATGGCTATAGAAGACTGAGGAGGCAATTCTTACTAACATCTCAAGTGAGCCATCTGGGGTGAAAGCCATTCTTTGTAGCGTTTTCTCTCCAGCCTCCCACCGCAATGGGACCCCACAACCAGTTAGTGTCCTCTCCCCAACTGTCAGCACAGGCAGCAGGAATCCTGCTGCAGACCTCTCTGGAGCTCCACCACAGCCTGTACTGTCAGGGGAAGAATGGCTTCCAGGGAGTCTCCACAGGTATTGTGCAAGGTCCTCCAGATTTACAGCTTCCGAGCAGTTCTTATGACCCCAGTCCACAGGACCTCTGACTCCTTGGGCTTAGTCTGCATTCTCGTGTTCTCCGAGTCTTTGTTCAGCAGCTGCTGCTCTGCTGACTCTAGACCTTTCTGCTTCTCTTTTTTTTTTTTTTTTTTTTTTTTTTTTTTTTTTCTCCGGTACTGGGAACTGAACTCACGACCTTGCGCTTGCCAGGCAGGTGCTTTTGCCGCTGAGCTAAATCCCCAGCCCCCTCTGCTTCTCAATGGCAGGAGCAAGAGTGACCTGTTGCATGACATGTATTCCCAGGGGTTTCTCTATATTTGAATGATTCACACACGTCCGTGGGTGGGCATCTGCAGCCGGTGCATGGTGGGCCAATTGTGTCATTGTTTCTCTGTGTCATGGTAGTTCTTAATTGAGCAGCAGCAGCCGGCCTGAGGGCAGGCATGCAACAGCGCTTGCGGCCGCATGGCTCCCCCTGCGCCGGGTGGGGGGGGCCTCCATCTGGGTGCCTATGAGGCAGGGAGCTGGCCTGAAGACCAGTGCTCCCCGCCCCGTGGCTTCCTGTGTGCCGGGGGGCCCCCATTTCGGGCGCCTACGAGGCAGGGAGCTGGCCCGAAGACCAGTGCTCCCTGCCCCGTGGCTTCCCCCTTATTTTCTATACACCGGACAGAGGCCTACATTGCTTGCTGGTCTGGTGTGTCCAAACAGCTTCTGGCCTGTTTTATCTGATGTAACTCGAATATATCCTGTGTTCGTGTGCCTTTGATTTAATTTGATACATTTACAAGTGACATTTTTTTAAATTTTGAGACAGGAACGCACTGTGAGTTCAGGCTGGGTTTTAGCCCAGGCTGGCTTCAAACTTCTGGCAATCCTCCTGCCTCAGTTGCTCAAGTTCTGGGATTACAGGTGTGTGCCACCACACCTGGCAGGTGGCAGTTTTTATAGCAAAATTAATTTATAAATTTATGTCTTGTGATTGTGCTGTGCAGCTGGGAGTTACGGTGTTTTTTTTTTTTTGGTTAAAGTTTGGTGTGTCCAACATTTGGTAATTATCTGTTTGTACATAGAAGTTGCTAAGTTATTCTGCCACAACATTTCTCCTCAAAATGGAACAAACTTCTGTTTTATAAAATGGAGTCACAGAGCCAGGTGTGGTGGTGTACACCTGTAATCCCAGCACTTGGGAGGCTGAGGCAGGATTGTTGTGAGTTCAAGACCAGCCTGAACTGCATGGCAAGACCCTGTCTCAAAAAGACCAAAAATAAAACCAAAGGAGCCATTCAATATAGAGAGCACAGCCTAAAAGCTGCTATTCTGTACAACATGCAATAACTCACAGCAAGGCATAGCCTGCTCTATGTATTTATTGTTTATAATCCGAATGCAGTATCATCTCTTTCACAGATTTGTGTGTGTGTGTAACATATCTTTGGGGCGTGGTGCTAGGGACTGAATTTAGGGCCCTGACATGCTAAGCACATGCTCTGCCCCTGACCTCCATCCCCAGATTAGATAAATATCTCTAAGCCCACGTTCCCTTTCCTTCCCCTTCTCCCCTTTCCTCCCCTTCCCCCTCCTCCCTCCCCTTTCCCTCTTGCCTTTTCCCTTTGAGCCTGGGGCCATCACACTGAGCTGAATCCAGCCCTGAAACAGCTGTTAAGCCACCCAGGTTGGATTCCTGCCTCCACCTCCCAAAGTGCTGGTCTTATATGCATGTGCCATCCTGCCTGGCTACATTACGGGATTTATACAGTTATTTAATAAGGGCCGAGATTCCTTCAGTCTTTGCTTCAGTTGTTATGTAAGGAGTTTTGTGACAGCTGTTCTTGACTGAAACTTTATATTCTCAGTGACCTAAAGTCATTGTTTTCAACTTTTTTTTGCACCTTGGTGCTCCTGAAGTGCACTGTCAGTTGCAGTGGCCCTGTGTAATGGTGGTTCTCAGCTGGGAGTGGAGGAAGGCATTGTGTTACAGAGTCAGAAATTCAGTGTGGAATATAGAAATACTCTCTTTCTACCATGAATACAGGCAATTGGGAGTCACTGGATTAAAGCAATTAGTGTGAAATGCAGGTGGATAAATTACTAATGATTACATTTTTTAGTTCCAAAATCCATTAGGAATTTGATGGAATATCATTTTGAAAGACACAAGCTTTGAATTTGAGTGATATACTGGTTTCTTTACATTGATCCTTTTAATAAATAAATATATTCATTATTGCTAAATAAATACACAGAATTGGGTATAGTTTATGTATTTTTCTTTTCTTTTTTTATATTTTATTTTTATTTTTATGTTTTTGGAACTGGGAATTGAACTCAGGACTTTGCGCTCGGTAGGCAGGCACTTTGCCACTGAACTATATCCCCGGACCCTTCTTTTTTTAAATCATTAAATATTCAGTTAGTAATATATGTTGCAACTTTTCCATTTTTGGGAGGAATATTTACCAAGAGATTGACGGTAATCATTGCACTTTGAAAAGCAATTAGTTATAGATTTAAAAATTTTTAATTCTCTAGATGATGGTGTTGATACCCAAAGTGGAACAAAGAAAGAAGATCTAAATGACAGGGAGAAGAAGGATGAAGAAGAAGCTCCTCCACCTGCCTTTAGAGCCAAGACCATCCTGGAGAGCTGGGTGTGGGGCAAGCAACCAGGTATTGTGCTCCTCAGAAGCACTGTCTTTGGGAAAGCTTGATCCAGCACAACTTTTCTGAACACTAGTTGGACTGCTTTGTTTGTTAATGTAGTTTTCCAAAATTCAGATTAAAAATTTATTGTATTATAGTAGAGTATATGTAACATAAAACTTACCAGTATTACCATTTTTAAGCATATTACAGTTCGTTAACATTAAATACGTTAACATTGTGGTGCAATATCACCACCATCATTTCTACAACTCTTTCATCTTTTTTTTTTTAAAATTTTTTTATTTTTTTGGTCTTTTTGAGACAGGGTCTCGCTGTGCAGCTCAGGCTGCCCTTGAGCTCATTTTGTAGCCCAGGCTGGTCTCGAACTCTCAACGATCCTCCTGCCTCACCTTCCTTTCCTCAGCTATAAATGTGTACATTTAGATTGACTTTGTATCTGGGATTGATAATAGTTACCTACAGGGTAGGACCTTTGTAGGATGAGGAGTATAGGTCAGGTAAAGTGCTCATACTGTTGTTTAGGATGTAACAGTTAAACTAGAATTTGCTGAACTATGTCTTGTACTATATTTCTTTTTTATCTGTCTTGCTAGAGCCTATCAATTCAATGGAGTTTTTTCCCAAAGAGCCAGTTGTTGGCTTTATTGAACCTCCCATTGTTTTCCTGTCGTTTTCACTGATTTTTGCTTTAATCTTTATTGCTTTTTTTTTTTTTTTTTGCTTGCTTTGGGTTCTTTCTGCTCTTCTATTTCTTCTAGTTTCTTAAGGTAGAGGCTAGGATAATTGATTTTTTTTTTTTTTTTTACTATTTTCTTTTTTGGTACTGGGAATTGAACTCAGGGCCTTACGTTTGCCAGGCAGATGCTGCACCACTGAGCTATATCCCTGACCCAGATCACTGATTTTAGATCTTTTTTCTTTTCTGACTTAAGGATTCAAAACTGTAAATCCCCCCCCCAAGCACTGTTTATACAACAGATTTAGAAATATTCTTTCATTTTCAGTTAAGAAAAAAAAAAATTTTTTTTTGAGATAGAATCTCACCAGGCTGAACTTGAAGTCCCTGTGTAGAATTTATAATCTTCCTACCTCTCAATGAAAGTATTAATTTCCCTTATAATTTTTTCTTTAATTTATTTATTACTAGAAGTGTGTAAATTTCCAAATATTTGGAGGCTTTCACATACCTCCTGTTAGTGATTACTAATTTTGGAGTGAGAGGCAAGAAACAGGGGTCTGAACTCAGGGCCTTGTGCATGCTAGGCAAGTCTCTACTGCTGAACTATAGCCCCAGCCCTAATGATTACTAATTTAATTTAGTTGGGGTCAGAAAACATACTTTTTATGATTTTGTTCCTTTTAAATTTTTAGACTTGCATTATGGCCTACGATATAAACTATGTTGTTGAACTTTTTCTGTGTACTTGAAAACTGTGTCTGTTTTGCTGCTGTAGGAATTTTAATGAGGTCAGGTTGTTCTCAACCTTACTGGGAGAGGAGCTGAACTGACATACAAGATTGGAATGAGGAGATCCTTTTTTAAATCTTTCTACTTCTCTCTGTTGGGCCCAATGTGGATCTTAAAAGTTATCTTTTAAGGTAACAACTTGCCACAACTGCCACACCCCACCGGTCTCCTACAGATGCAGGGAATTTTAATGAGGCCAGGTGCCCAGGCGAGGCTCTCTGCAGAAATTGAATCTAGAAAAAGCTGACCCCTTCCTCTAGAGCAGTGGTGGTGAACCAGAGATAAAGATAAGCAAGGCGGCCAGACTGCCGCTTATTTCTCCCTCCTCATTACAGACACAGTAAGGAGAAAAGGCTGGGTGCAATCTCCTTAGAGAGTAGAGGCAGCTATATTACAAACAAGCTACAAGTATTTGCTAAGAAAAGAGTTCTTAATCTGTGAAATGTATTTACCAAACTGTCACTAGTTTAGGATTTGTTTTTGGTACGCATACCTAAAACCATACAGCATGGGGTATCGCTCAGTCCCAGAGAAACATAACATACAGTCTCTAACTGTCTGGCTATAAAATGGAGATGTTACACACCTGAAGTGCATCTGTGTGAGGCTGGTAGGGGTGTGGCAGTTGCCACTCAGGGTCTGAGGTTTTTAAGCCAGTGACCGTTGGCCTCAGGGTGTTGTAGGCATTAGCTAGAAGACAGGTACTAGAGGCGCTACTCTCATCCCACCATTGGGAGGGTGCCGGTTAGGGGGCTGGCGGGAGGTAACTTAATTTACAATTCGACCATCATTGTCTGTACTGCTAGGTGGACTTAGGCTTCACTGGAAGACCAGAGTCCTTTGAGTTATATTCATTCATGTAACTGTCTTCCAGCTACTTAAAAAAATATCTGCCTCAATGAATATGTCAAACATTTACAGAGTACAGAGAATAGTAAAATGAAACCTCACTTACTTATCACACATTCCCACTACTTTATGCTCCTCTCATAAATATTCTCGTAACTTCGGGAGGTAGCTCGGTAGTAGAGTGCTTGCCTAGCATGTGCAAAGCCTCTGGGTTTAATTCCCAGGATTGCAAACCAAACAAAAATTGAGATATCCCCATAACTGTATTATCTTTTATGAATCATGCATGCTCAGTATTTTTTTTCTTTTTTTTTTTGAGATAGGGTCTCCCCGTGTAGTGCAGGCTGGCCTTGAACTTACTGTGTAGCCCAGTCTGGCCTTGAACTCACAGCAGTCCTTCTACCTCAGCCTCCCAAGTCCTGGGATTACAGGCGTGTACCAGCAGGCCATGCTGAATAATTTTATTGAAATGTTGTTTTTATTTTGAATTTAGTTTCATAACAAGAAGATGAATTTGTGTCTGTTTAGGAAATGTGCTGCTGAGGATTGACTTCATCGTTAGTGTGAACAGCTTTACACGTTTATAGAGAGGCAGTGTACCATGGTGGCCAGGAGTGACCTCTGTCATACGTTACGGTCTTCTTTGTGCCTTGGGCGAGTTACTCAGCCATTCATCCTCGTTCATGAGAAGGACATGCAGTGCTACCCCCTGATACTCGGTGTGGAGAGTGCCCGAGTTAATGTGTGCAAAGTGTTGGAAGCAGTTTTTGGCATTCTGTATCAGTGCGGTGTTTCCTGTCATATCTGCGGTTTCAGCATTATGTGCTCAGGCTGTTGACAGGCAGGTGTTTTCTTCCTGACTTCCTTAGACGTGAAGGAGCTGAAGGAATGCCTGTCTGTGCTGGTGAAAGAGCAGCAAGCGCTGGCTGTGCAGTCGGCTACCACCACCCTCTCGGCGCTGAGGCTCAAGCAGAGGCTGGTGATCCTGGAGCGCTATTTCATTGCGTTGAACAGAAGTGTGTTTCAGGAGAACGTCAAGGTGAAGTGGAGAAGCAGCAGTGTTTCGCAGCCTCCCATGGACAAGAAAAGGTAACAGAAGAGCAAAGAAAGGGTCCTGATGACAGCTTTTACAGTTCAGGTTCTTTTTTAAAGGAAGGTTTAACTGAGGGTTTCAGTATAGTCCGGGTTTTCATCACATGAAATTTTATTTGTATTTTCCCCATTTCTGGGCTTTGTTTCATCGGGAGAATGGACTTGTTAGGTTACTCATAGAGTAACACAATGTTGCATATTCTGGGCCATTTTTATTTTTATTTATTTCTTTGTTTTTTTTGAGACTGGGTCTTGCTATGTAGTCCAGGCTGTCTTTGAGTTCACTGTGTAGCCCAGGCTGGCCTTGAACTCAGCGATCCTTCTGCCTCAGCCTCCCAAGTGTTGGGAGTATAGGTATGTGCCACCACGCCTGGCTGTGTCATTATTTAAAAAAATTTTTTTGTCAGAAACTGTAGTCGCCAAAGGTTTAGATATAAGAGGTTTAGATCTAAGGTTTAGATTTGAAAATGGAATTTCAACATTGTGTCCTTTTTGTCTTCTGCTGCTGCTGTGTAGGGAATAGTTAGAGCATGTTTTATGCCCAAATAGTTTAGATGCTTTTTTGTTTGTTTTTGTCTTTTTGAGACTGGAACTCACTGTGCAGTTCAGGCTGGCCTTGAGCTCACTTTGTAGCCGAGGCTTGTCTTGAACTCACAGTAGTTGTCCTGCCTCTGGCTCCAGAGTGCTGGGATTACAGGTGTGTGCCACCATGCCCGGCTAGATGCTTTTTTTTCTTTCCTGGTAATGATTCTTTTATTACTAGACACACTTCCAGGCATATGATTTTTAATTTGTTGCTGTCTGGTAATATATCAGCAGACTGTCTTTGAGGAACTAACCAATAGACACTAGACTATGTAAGCCTCATATCAGACTGTAGTTTTCCTTGAATTTAGCTAATGTGCAGACTTTTGTCTTCAGAAGTTTAGGTTGGCAGGGGAACCCATATTTTATGTGGCTAATAGTTGGCTTTATTTGGCTGTAATAACAGTGACTTTTACTCCTCAGAGAGCCCGTGGGTAGAACAGAAGGCAGAAGGAAGCACAGGAGACCTATCTCTTCTTGTTACCAGAGATGAGAATGCTAATAGTAATATATTTTTTTTGGATTTTTTTATTGATTGATTGATTGATTGATTGCCTCTTTTTGAGACAGGGTCTCGCTATCCTGTTCAGGCTGGCCTTGAGCTCACTTTGTAGCCCAGCCCAGGCTGGTCTCAACTCAGAACAATTCTCCTGCCTCAGCCTCCCAAGTGCTGGGATTACAGGCTGCGCCACCACGCCGTCTTGCCTGTCACTTTAAATAAACGGAGGCAAGGGATAGTGGAGGCTGGTGCCTGTTTGATAAGATGGCTGGTGGCATGACTCCTCCCTCCCTCCCTCCCTTCCTTCCTTCCTTCCTTCCTTGAAGTGAGCAGCTGCTGGGATGGTCAGCCATCCGAGGGCTTGGCATGTATGCACACTCAGTGCTGGCATTCTCTAAGTGGTCTGTGTGTTTGTCAGATCAGACAGATCTATTCCCCGTGGTGCAGAACAGCCTGGACATGCAGCTGAGTTGTGTTGCCCTTTCCTTTATGATGGAGCCAGTGCTGCTGGATTAATTGGATTGTATCTTTCATTAAAAGAAGGAATTTCTAAAATTAACAACACTTTCTTTTGAGATGGTTGTGCAGTCACATGCATTTGTAAGACATAGTGCAGAGTCCTGCTCATCGCTTACTTCCCTCTGGTGTTTCTTCCCACTTGAGAAACGACCACAGTAGTGAGGACGCTCATTTTCATACACTGCCTGTGCTGCTCAGTTTTCCATGCTGTCTATTGTGTGTGTTTGTTAGCGGTTAAAATTACTCGGGTAGACTTGTGCCGGGCAACCAACTGCACCTGGGTACATAACCAAGGCCCCTTTTATCTGCACCAAAAAATAAAAAGGTAATGGTATGGAATGAGCAGTTCTTCCACCATAGCAGCTTGGGGCTGTTGGACTCTTTCTCCAGTGGCAAAGTATTTTGTATGCCCACTCACCTTTTTCCTCCTCTGCCCACCTTAACCCGTGGCAACCACTAATCTCTAACTTTTTGAGATTGGCTTTTTTCAGTTAGCAGCATTCCCTTGAGATTCTTCTGATTTGTTGAATTTATCGTTATAGCTCAGTAGGGGTCTGTGGTACAGATGCACCGCAGTTTGTCTCCCACCTTTGAGATACTGCAGATGAAACTCCCTTGGCGGTTCATCCAGAGATCTTTGTGTGCGTGTTGTTTCTTCTGAGGTGAGCGCCCAGGAGTGCAGTTGCTGGGTCTTGTGAAGCACACTGATGGAAGGAATTGCCACACTTGTTTTCCAGAGGCTCTGTGTATTTCACATGTTCAGCAGTTCTGTATGAGCGATCGGTTTCTCCACACCCTTGTTGACACTTGGTTTCACCCCTTTTATTCTGACAGATGTGTAGTGATACCTTCTAAATTTCTATGGATTTCCTTTCCTCATTTCTTAACCTACTGTATAGTGATATATTTTATATTTTTTGCGCAACAAGCTATGGGGTAGATAATCAACTGTTGTGGATAGGCGTGTACCCAAGCCTTTTCTATATTTTTTCTTGAACGTTTGTAAAACAAAGAGCCACTTACTGGACAATTAGTGGTTCTTACACTGCAGGCTGAGGGCTGTTGGGCTCTTCTCAGCTGAGTGGAGCCCAGCTCAGTGTGTCTCCTGGAATAGCTTTCTCCAAGGGCAGATGTTGGAGTGGTCCTCCCAGCTTCCCACTTAGCACATGGGCTTTCTCTTTTAAGGACTGTGTTTCCTATGATGTATTCTAATTTTGTAATACAGTACATATATATATATATATATATTTTTTTTTTTCTTTTTCTTTTTTCTTTTTAAAATGCTGTTGTTAGCCAGGCGTAGTGGCACATACCTTGTAATCCTAGCACTTGGGAGGCTGAGACAGGAGGATCACTGTGAGTTCAAGGTGAGCCTCGGCTACATAGTGAGTTCATGGTCAGCCTGAACTGCATAGGGAGACCCTGTTCCCCCCAAAATGCTGTTGTTATCTCCACTTAATAGAAAGAAAGCTGTAGTACATTGCTATAAAGCAACTTGCCTAAGGTCACATAGATAGTAAGTAGCAGAGTAGACGTTGGGACCAAATATGACTCCCGGCACCAGCTCTAGGACATAGTTGTGCACTCACATGATGCTGCTTTTTGTTATGTTGGAGTCCTTGGAGCAAGCCAGGGTGATCAATAGTGGGCTGGTTTCTTTAACCAGCACGCTAGAATCTAGGTCTGCAGGTATTCTTAAAGATAATAGCTTCCTTGAAAGAATGTGAACTTGCTTTAGCAATGTTCATAGAATAATTAGGGCTTCTCCTACAAAATGAACTGGTGAGCCATAAGTAAAGTAAATTTAGTTACAGTGTTGATCTGACTGTTTTTTTTATTTTTTATTTTTGATACTGGAAGTCAAACTCAGGACATTGTACTTGCCAGGCAGGTGCTTGTGCCGCTGAGCTATATCCTCAGCCCTGACTAGTTTTGACTGCTCCCAAAAAACCAAATTTACCTTCAAAATGATAAAGCTACCATCATTTTATCACACCTCTTTAAAAAGGGAAGGGGGGGAATACCATACATTGCAGATAATTCTTCTTTTTTTTTGTCTTTTTGAGACAGGGTCTTGCTATGCAGTTCAGGCTGGCCTCAAACTCACTTTGTAGCCCAGGCTAGCCTAGAACTTGCAACGATCTTCCTGCCTCAGCCTCTTGAGTGCTAGGATTACAGGCGTGCGCCACCATGCCCTGCTGCAGATAATTCCAAAGCAGTTGTTCTACACATACTCTAAATTTGAAGCACTGTTTTTTAATTGAATATTATTGAATATTATTGAATTGAACATTATTCTACTAATAGTAAACTTTTTATTGTTAGTAGCATTATTTTTGGTGGTACTGGGGGTTGAACCCAGGGCACGTTTTTGTTAATGGAAAGGTTCCTTTAACAAGCTGGTTCCCCAGCTTCCCGGGGACTAGTGCCTGTCTTCAGGCCCTCCCCACTCACTCCTCAGGCATTCTGTGAGTGTAGGTGAGTCTGTAGCCGCCTACGAGGCCCAGCAACCTTCTGAGCCCCACATTTTCACTTGTAATCTAGTGTCACCTTGTATTTTGAGGACATCATCCTGTGTCATTACTGTTTGTAGTAACATTTCCCCTGGTTATTATTACTATGACTTTTTGGTAGAAAAGCTACATATTTAAAAATTTTTTTTTGTCTTTTTGAGACAGGGTCTCACTATGCAGTTCAGGCTGGCCTTGAACTCATTTTGTAGCCCAGGCTGGTCTTGAACTTGCAAGATCCTCCTGCCTGAGCCTTCTGAGTGTTGGGATTATAGGCCTGTGCCACTACGTCTGCCTTGAAGTACTACATGTTTGTGTGTGAAATTCAGTGTATCAAACTAGAACATAAAATTAACTTGTTATGCACAGTCGTTTACATTATACATACATTTTTATATTACAGCCTTTTTTTTCTGATTTTTTTTTTGCAAGATGATTTTTATGATATACTATTCGTACAACTTTTTTACAAAACACAAAATGAAACTATGACTTGTTAAATTAACATTTCTAAGTTACAAAAAGTTTGAAAAAGAGGATGGCTAAGCACTACATCCAGAAGCGGGAACTCTGCAGGTGGGGGAAGGAGGAAGATGAGTGCATAGAGACTTTGGACCTTAGCAGGTGGCTCTAAAACACCAATGGCTGGAAGAGGGAGCTGCCGCAGGGAGGGCCCTGGTGTTGATTTTGTTCTCTGTCCTGTTCTCCCATTTCTATGTTTACCTGTTTATTGTCTACTCATTTATTGTTGGCCTTTCCCAACTAGAGTACTGAGCCCTGTGGTTGTTTCATGAGCGTTTTCCTATTCTTTGTAAGTGTGTTTTCTTTTTCTCAAAGAGAAAATTTTTCCCTTTACAAAGGACATTCGATAAAAGATTTCAAAAATGAAACTAAAAGTCAGCTTTGACCCTACATCTAAAGAGAAGTATTGGGTGTGTTATGGTGCATAGCTCTCGTATTATTTATTATTTTATTTTGGTATTTCCGCAGTCCTCTGACTGACTTGTTATGCTCCTTTCCCCATGTGTATCTGCAGTTCTCGGCCCGTAGGCAGAGGTGTGGAAGGACTTGCTAGAGTTGGATCCCGAGCAGCGCTTTCCTTTGCCTTTGCATTCTTACGAAGGGCCTGGCGGTCAGGTAGGTGTGTCAGAAATATCTTCTGCTTGGGGCTGGGGATTTAGCTCAGTGGCAAAGCGTCTGCCTGGCAAGCGCAAGGTCGTGAGTTCGGTTCCCGGTACCGGAGAAAAACCAAAAAAAAAAAAAAAAAAGAAATATCTTCTGCTTCCCTGAGACATCAGGAGGTTTACCTTCCACGATCAGGTCTGCAGCCATATGTCCTTGGAGAGATCCTATATGCTTTCTGGGTCTGGTGTCATTGTTTATAAAACGAGAGGCTACAGAATATTTCACTTCAGGTCTGTGTTTTTTAAAAAAAGGCAAAAATTATGTGCAACCCTCTCTCCCTACTTCCCTTCCCTGCTTCAGTAACCGCCACTATGGAATGCCTCAGTACTGATTTATTTCTAGAAGAACAAGGTGTTAGTATAGGTTGAGCTTACTAACTCTAAAAATTTTAAATCTGAAATGCTTCAAAATCCTAAATCGTTGACACAGAGATGACCCCACAAATGGAAAATTCTACCCTTGACCTCATGTTGGGTTATAGTCATAATGCAGGTGCACTAAAAATCTTGCATGTAGTTACCTTCAGGCTATATGTATAAGTGTATATGGAGCAAATAACATTCATGTGTAGACTTGAGTCTCATTTCCAAGAGGTCTCAGTATGCAAATATTCCATAGTCTCCAAAATAACTGAAATATGGAATACTTCTAGTCCTAGGCATTTCAGGTAAGGGATGTTTAATCTCTTTTGCCTACTTGAGTGTCATCAAATACAGAATCGACTTTGAGACAGCCTTGTGAGATTTGAGCCTGTTAAAGGAGGGCTTGGACAGGTGACAGTGGCATCTTGTCACCCTGGTTGGGGCGCAGCAGGAAAGGGATGCTGTGCTAGTCACGCGGGCTGAGGGTGGAGCCTCTTCTGACTGAAGGCATGCCTAGGTGAGGATGCGGACCTCTGCAGTGAGCTGTTGCAGGAGTCCCTGGATGCCCTGCGAGCTCTGCCCGAAGCATCCCTCTTTGACGAGAGCTCCGTGTCTTCTGTGTGGCTGGAGGTGGTAGAGAGAGCAACCAGGTTCCTCAAGTCTGTTGTGACAGGGTGAGTCGTCCCTTCATACCTTCCTGTGGGAATCTTCCACTGTGCTTCTCATTCTGACACTCGCTCTCTGGCTAAGAAACCTAGTAGCTGGTTTTTCACCTCAGCTTCCAGTGCACTATCAGCTCTCTAATTCCACATTTTGGTTCTTTGCTTTATAGATGATTTCTGATACTCTGATTTAACCCAGGAAGCTATCACGTTAATGGGATGGAACATAACAGATGCTTTTGTTATTTACTTTTGTATTTAATGATTTCATAAACTTTTTTATGACACTCGATGAAAGATTGATAAAGTGAGCCCTTCTTGTGTGCCTCTTGGTGATACTTATGAGCCACTGTTCTTAGGAACAGCTGGAGCTCAGTTTGAAGTCTTGATAGATAATATGGGAGTGAGCACCTACTATCCAAGACCAAAGCCTATACTATTCGAGACCTAAGCTGGTGCTGGGGGAGGTTCAGTGGTAGAGTTCTTGCCTAGCATGTTGTGTGAGGCCCTGGGGTTGATCCTCATCGTCCTCCTTTCCCCAAGCCTTAACACATGGGCTTTTGGAAGGTATTTAATATCCAAATTACAGGATATAACTACTCTTTCTAGTTTTTAAACTGTGAATCATTCTGTGGAGAAATAAGAACTCTGGTTTTGAGTGTTATGCATTTTGTTAGGGTTTTTGAATTTGTTTTGAAGTAGAAGCATGTCTCAACATTTTTCTACCCATATTTTGAATAATGACACTTAATTTGTGCTTCTGAAATTTGGATTGTGCTGTCTAGAATAATATAGTATTTCCATTAATACTTTTAATAAAAATATATCCTTAGGGGCTGGGGGTATAGCTGAGTGGTAGAGCTCTTGCTTAGCATGCAGAAGGCCATGGGTTCAGTCCCAGTACTGCCTATAACTCCCCCCTCCCAACCCATACCTTTCTAAATTAATAATATTTTGAGATCTCTGAGTAAATTTATGTAGCAAATCTCAGAAACCTGATTTTGAATATTAAACATGTTTTTCCGTGGGAGACAGAACATAGTTAATGTGTGCATATGATTTTAAATGTGCTGCTTTCACTGATGCAGATGGCTTGCCTCCATTGCTGTCACTGTAGGGATGTTCATGGGACACCAGGCACCAAAGGTCCAGGAGGTGTTCCCCTGCAGGACCAGCACTTGGCCCTGGCCATCCTGCTGGAACTGGCTGTGCAGAGAGGCACATTGAGGTGAGTGGCCCCAGGAGCTCCCTGAGATGCCTGTATTTCTGCACACTGGTTGCATTGTGGCATTTCATTGAGTCAGTTGTGGCTGCAGCAAATGTGTGGTCTTCTGTAGTCAGGGAACCACATCCCAGCTTTCTTCTAAAGCCAGATCGACTTACGCTTTCTTCCCTCCCTTTTTATGCTTAGTTGTTTAATCATTTAGGATTTGTTCTATTTTTTTCTCCCACTTAGTTTTTCTCAAATAATTATTTTTATACCATCAGTATAAGATGCTAGAAATTTCCTGTAGAAAGTATGATTTGAACGTCTTAACTGGTTTTGTTTCCTGTCAGCAGAGAGGGGGTATCTCGTGATAAAATATTGGTATTGATCCATGGATTTTTATTGCCAAAAGTTGTTTCTATGGCATTGTTTTAGTGTTCTTTCACTTTTACTTAGCAGTTTTTATTTTTTATGGGCCACAGCAAAAAAGTTAATCTGTTTTTATTAGATAATATGTATTTTTCCTCCTTTAGCCAAATGTTGTCTGCCATCCTGTTGTTGCTTCAACTGTGGGACAGTGGGGCTCAGGAGACGGACAATGAACGATCTGCCCAGGGCACCAGTGCCCCCCTGCTTCCTCTGCTGCAGAGGTTCCAGAGCATCATGTGCAGCAAGGACACGCCACAAGCCGAGGGGGACACACATGTAAGTGGCACGTGGCACGTGGTGTTTAGGGAGTGTGTTTGTTCTACTTGCTTTTGGAATTAGGCTGGTGTGACAGGGCCAGCGTGCATGTCCACAGCAGTGATGTCTCGGGAGGTGCTTGTGTTTGATGACTGCCGAGAGTCAGTGGGGCAAGCGTGGGAAGTCACGTGTGTGTTACGTTGATAAGGCAGAGCATCCTCTGCGCTGTCAGGACTGTTCCATGTGGCAGCGAGCTACAGTGGGGTCAGAGTCCCCACTGAGCTACAGGCCCTGGACCCTGTGCTTTTGCACGGTATGTCCTAAGGCAGAAGAGCAAGCCGTGGCGTGGGTCCCGCCCACTGCCATGCTGGCCCTGTTGCTTTCTCACCACCAAGACCTTCGCATATATGATTCAGGGCCTCTGTCCTTAGCAGCTGCCATCTGTGCTTGGCTGTGAAGGGGACGGAGTTTCAGATTCTGTTCACTCATTATGTATTGCTGTAGTGAAATATTCACGAGGGAGGCTTACTTTAAAGAAAGGTTTATTTTGGCTCATGATTCTTGAGGTACAAAGTGGAAGGCTGCCTGATGATGGCCTTCATGCTGGCAGAGGTCCAAGGTGGTACTGGGCACCATGTGGCAAGACGTAGGGAGGGTGTGTGTGTCTGTCTGTCCGGCTGGTCTGTGTCTCTTCTTGTAAAACCTCCCGTATTCAGTGCCATGACTTTAACCCTAATGACATCCTAAAGATTTCATGTCAGCACTATAGTTGCATCGTTTCCATGCTCCTAGTACCTCCTAATGGGGACTGAACTTCAACAGAAGATCTTTTAGAGCCACATGTGGTGGTACATGTCTCTAATCCCAGCAGGAGGCTAAGGCAAGAGGATCTCACGTTCAAACCCAGTGAGGTCAATTCAGCATGACCTTGTCTCAAAATAAAAAATGAAGAAAAGGGCTGGTGACGCAGCTCAGTGTAGAGGCCCTGGGTTCAGTCCTCAGACCATATCCATGTGGTGGAAGATGTAATGAAGGCGTGTTCTCTTCCATGAAGGAGTGAGTTAGTAGAAGAATAAAAAGTGATAAAAATTGCGATGCTATTTCAAGAGCAAAGCTGAGATGTAGGTCATTATCAGCACCTGCAGTGATGATGGAGAAGACTGAGGCAGAGTCAGTGTAGGAAGAAGCCATGCATCCTCTTAAAAGGAAGTGGTCTAGCAGGAAATGTTTTTAATATTTACATCGGTTTTGAGGAATTCGTACATATACACTGTGTCTTCACCATTTTCCGTCCCCTAGACCCCTAGTTGCTGCCTCCCTGCTTGGCCTGGTTCCCCTCCTCATCTTCCAGAAGTCTGCCTCCCTGTTTCCTACCATCTCTCCTTTATTTCACTGTTTAATTTATTTATATTGTGGGCTTCTCATATTAGAGAAACCATGCAGTAGTTAATTCTCCATGTCTGGCTTATTTTATGTAACATTATGGGAGCAAGATCTATCCATTTTCTTTCAAATAATGTGAGTTTTTTTTTTTTTATGACTGAGTAAAGTTCCACTGTGTTTATATTCTACATTTTCTTTATCCATTTGTCTGCTGATGTGCATCTAGCCTGTTTCTAGAGCCTAGCTGTTGTGAATTGTGCACTATAAACATGGGTATGCACATATCACTGTAGTGTGATGACTTTAACTCTTTCTGGAGCATTCCCAGGAGAGGTATGTTTGGGTCACATGGAATTTCTATTTCTGATCTTTTGAGTAATGTCCATACAGAGAAAAATCTCTTTGCTCATGTTGAAAGAACCTATCCACACATGCAGTCACCTTGTTGTCCCTATGAGTTTCTGCCAAGGAGAGGCAGGTGGGTCTCCATGCTTTGTCTCTTCCATTGTGCTGTTTTTGGAAAAGACTTGGATCAACAAGCACAGACTGTCAGTACAGAATCATGTATGTGAAACACACACTTGCAATTAAAAACCAGAAAGAACAGTGGAAAGGGCCATCACTCTGATGGCCCTTCCTGTTTCGAGGCAGTATTTGAGGTACGTCACCTGATTTGTGTCTGTTTAGTCCCAGCCATTCCCTTTGCCAGTGAGGAGGCTGAGCTGGGTCAGGGGAAGGGTGTCAGCCTGGGCTGGAACCTCAGCACTGTTGCTCTTTACAGTGCATGTTGGATTTTCTCTTTTCCAGGAAAGAGAGTCATTCCATTATTGTGCTTTGGCCCTATTTACCTACCATTTGGCACTCTTAAATGATAAGGCTTCTTTGCCTTTGGAACTATTAGTATAATGACTTAATTTGCAAGTTTTCTCCAAAGTGGGCATCATTCAGATTAAAATGAGAGGATTTTTTTTTTTTTGGTACTGGGACTCAAACTCAGGACCTTGTGCTTGCCAGGCAGGTGCACGTGCTTGTGCCACGGAGCTGTATCCCCGGCTGAGGTTTTTGTTTTTAGTTGTCAAAGTGAAGTTGTGGTGCCACACTGTGTTTGTGGAGCCTGTTTTGTGTTCCTTCAGGGACTTTGAGGGCTGCATGCCTGTATAGTAATTTGGCTGTATTAGTAAGCCATGTGGAGTCTGCACATAGGGCTCAACGTATGTGTAGTGCAGCAGATATACACATGTAAGTCAGTGCTGTGTGTATTTTACAGCAGATGTATACGTGTAAAGGTGGACAGTGCAATTGTATCATTGGTACTGTCATTTGATGGCCAAAATGAAATTTACAGGTAGTACATAAATGAAGTACCAAATGTAATGAGGAATTAGAGGCTAATTGTGTCACTTTATTTTTCATCACCATTCTGAATATATTTGTTTGCTTTACTTAATCTAGCTTTTATCTGGGCCTCTGAGTCCCAATGAGAGTTTCCTGAGGTACCTTACTCTTCCTCAAGACAATGAGCTTGCCATCGATTTAAGACAAACAGCGGTGGTTGTCATGGCGCATTTAGACCGCCTGGCTACGCCCTGTATGCCTCCTCTGTGTAGCTCCCCAACATCGCACAAGGTATGTACTGGAGTGACCTCACTTTCTTTTCTTGCAGTGCTGGGGATGGAAGTCAGGCCCTTGAGCATGCCGGGCAAGTGCTTTGCTACTGAGCTGTACCCTAGCCCTTAGAGCAGAACCCTTTGTATGCTTTAGGTAGTAGACTTGCAGGTTCTCAGTCTGTGCACGTAGAAGACTGACTTCTTCTGTTACTGGTGGTGGGAGCTGAACTACACTTCTTTTAAAAAGTCACATTTTACTGGTACATTTTACATACATAATGATCATATTCATCGTAGAGAATTTGTATCTGTATGTGATATAACTTGATTCTTTTTTTCCCCACTCCCCTTCCCTGCAGCCCTCTTGCCTCCCCATTTACAAAAGCTTTATTTCCATTTTTTCCTTCTTTCCTCATTTTTTTTTTACCCCTCCCCATTCCCTTCCTCACTTGAACCTGACTTATATTTTTAAAATACATTCGTAATAGTTTAAGATGTTGTCAGGGTCACGGTGAGTGATGAGCAAGTTGAGGTGCACAGGGCTGAAGGACCCAGACTGGGCCCCGTGGAGAAGTGACCTTTATCCACACAACTGCAGCCTTCCTGCTCTCCTCAGGGAGGTTCTAGAACTTCTTTCTCTGTAGCTAGAAAGGCTAGTGATCAAATCTAGGACCTTATACATGCTAAACATGCGCTGTACCACTGAGCTACATCCCTGGCCCGGAGCCTTTTTTATATACTCTGAATATGCGTGATCTTAGTACGTCGTGTCGGTTAGCGTAATAATGACAGTATACTTAGGTATTGCGTGTAGACTGTAGTGGTGATGGTGATAGTAGTGACCTGCCTGTGTGGAGGGCACTTCGCAAGCGCCAGTCCATCAAGGACCTCACGTGCATGGTCTTCTCTGATCGTCATGACTTTCCCTCAGTGCATCCAAGAGAAAACCAAAATTTGGAATGTTAGTGAACTTTGTCTGGGTCATACAGTGTCATCCTGATTTTGAATCCAGGTTTCTTCTCTTTGTGAATATGAACAACGCTTATTAAACTTCACAATCATATTTTAAAAAGTAAGCAGTATAGTCACGTGGTTCAGAAATCAAAATTATATACGAAGACACACTGTCCCTTTCTCCCCTGACCTTCATTCACCCACTTCCTGTCTCCGCTTCTGGTTTTCATTTTTGTAGCTGCCTGAGCTTCTGCTGTTCTCTGGAGGGAACATTTAATTGTAGCACGTTAGCTTACTGTGTAGCTTATTTTCATTAACGTAAAGGCTAGAGAGTTTCCATGTCAAACAGCTTCTCAGTTTTTAAATGTTTAGTATGTCAGGTGTAAATGTATCTTTTTTTTTTTTTTTTAAATGAGTCTCATGTTGATGAACTGCCAAAATTTTGCTACCTAGACATTGCCATGGTTACTGATGGGGTGCAGGTGTTCCTCTGTGTGTGTGTGTGCAGGTGTGTGTGTCTGTGTGTCAGAGAGATTACCCATGGTAGGCTTGTTATCCTCATGTTGCTTCTCTGCAGCTTGGTCTTTTTCACCCTGACCTGTAAGGATGCTTGTTTCCCAGCTTTGTGCTTAGACTTTGGAGGTTTTGCCTGTAATGGGACAAAATGATAGTCTGATATGGTTTGAGCATTTGAAAGTACATTGAAAGGCTGGGGATTTAGCTCAGTGGTACAAGCGCCTGCCTGGCAAGTGCGAGGTCCTGGGTTCGATTTCCGGTACCAAAAAAAAAAAAAAAAGTACACTGAAGAGCCAGCTCTGTTATAGTGAAGTACTATAAAAAAATAACTAATTCTTTCCTTTTAACTGAGGTAGTATGGGATATTCTATTTTGATGTTTTGAATCAGCTACTTTTTCTTCGTTTTCAGCTTATAGTATATTGATGTTACTCCAAGACGTTTTGTTACTATAAAATAATGTTTACTTGCGTTCTTCTCTTACAGGGATCACTGCAGGAGGTCATAGGTTGGGGGTTAATAGGATGGAAATACTATGCCAACGTGATTGGCCCAATCCAGTGTGAAGGCCTTGCCAGCCTGGGGGTCACGCAGATTGCATGTGCAGAGAAGCGCTTCCTGATCCTGTCCCGCAACGGCCGTGTGTATACACAGGCCTACAACAGCGACACTCTGGTGGGTGTTGTGGGCAGTGTCCCTGTGTGCTTCCTCCACTGCGCATGGCCGCTCCCACAGATGCCACAGGGTCTGCACCTTCTTTTACATCACTGATCAGCATCTGTTAATTGTGTATTGTTAGTCATATTTAATAACGTCCATTGTTAGCATTATTGTCAAGACTTTTAGATACTAAGATCAAGAAATACTATGAAGCCCATTGCTGATTATGATTTCTGTTTGTAAGCCATCTTTTAGTGTATAAGCTCACTTACCCTTGGGGCCAGTTGGAGTAGGTTTGATGGACATGATGGCACCTTCTTTTTTTCTTTCTGACTTTTTTGAGACAGGGTCTCGTTGTGCAGTTCAGGCTGGCCTTGAGCTCACTTCGTAGCCCAGGCTGGTCTCCAACTCAAAACGATCCTCCTGCCTCAGCCTCCCGAGTGCTGGGATTACAGGCGTGCGCCACCACGCCCGGCACTGGCACCTTGGGATATGCATAGTCTCATTAGGGAGAACTGTGTGTCACTCTCGCACGGGGCAGCCTGTACTGTCCAGCACCAGCACTGGCCATGCCTCAGATGACTTAGAAGTTGCCTGTTGTTCTGGTGTTGGGAACGGTGAGCTGGAGAACTGGCCTAACCCCTCTGAGGGCTCCTGGTCTTTCAGTTAGTGCAGGTGTGTTCAGGTCTGAGAAATGAATGGGAAGAGTTGGCTGTTTTCATTATTGTTAGACCTGTCACTAATTTTCTTCCTGTTTTTACCCTTTTAGGCCCCACAGCTGGTCCAAGGTCTTGCCTCCAGAAACATTGTAAAAATTGCTGCCCATTCTGATGGTCACCACTACCTGGCCTTGGCTGCCACTGGAGAGGTGTACTCCTGGGGCTGTGGGGACGGCGGACGGCTGGGCCACGGGGACACTGTGTATGTACAGCTCATTCCTTCTGTGTGGCCACATCTATGGCGGGATGGGAGAGGGTGTGTTCCAGTTGCTCCACGACGTAGAGCTCAGATGGAGAGGGGTTCCGTTGTGTGTCCACCCTTGATGACGCCTCAGGAACTTGTCTGCAACAAGGTCGTGGGAATCAGCCCTCCTGCTCTCTCTCCCTGCTGCAGCAATAGTCAGCAGTACTGTCCCCTGCCATGTTTCCTGAAGCAAATCCACGTGCTGTCCCTTCATTAATAAGTACTTCACATATCTCCAACCAGTAAGATCCCTTTTTTCTTGAACTGTATTATCCTCACAGGACAAAGATCAGCAGTTTCTACTCGTATTTGGTGAAAGCTTTTGATTACTGTAAGAAAATAGAAACAAAACAGAAAGTAGTTGTTATAAATGCCCAGTTATAAAGTTGAGAGTCCTGCCATTTTGTGTGGAGTGATCACAGCAGAACTCCTTTTTTACTTTGATGCTGTGAATAGAGCCTGGTGGGAAAGCCTTTAGCATTCGGTAGTAATTGCCGTTGCATGAATGTGCCAACCCAGCAGGCTGACTTCATGCGGTCATTCGTGAGCAGGATTGGAAGTGACTGCAGTTCTGTCTACCTGCATGTCTGCAGAGGAGGCTGGAAGGCATGTGGCCTGTTCACACCAGGGGTGTAGATAGATGGACGTTATAGCTCAGAACATCTGCTGGGAGATAAGCAGAGTGATACACATCGTGTCTTCTTCACATAAGAGCTTGGAAACACTCAAGTGTGATGGGGTTGGAAGATGTTAAAAGACAGTAATAAATCTGTAGTGAAAAACAAAGGAATTAAGCTGGGTCTATAATACCAGCACTCTGGAGAGAAGCAGGAGGCAGGAGGACCTCAAGTTCAAGCCCAGCTGGGGAATTTAGCATGACTCTGTCACAAAATGAAAAATAAAAAAAAGGGCTGGGGATGTAGCTCAGTGTGAAAGCCCTAGGTTCATTCCCCTGCACCACAAAAACAACAAAAAATCCCAGAGGAGTTGAGAATT